ATTTTTATATATTTTTATATATTCACGTATTTTACTATTTAGTAGTATTTTATTTTTAGTAAGTCGATATATTCTACCCCACACTGTACAAGGCCACGGACATGGCCATCCCCTGAGCAAGTTAAATACCATTACCACCCAGGTGCCCTATTATGACAGGACCGTCGTCGTCAAACTCCCCAGTTCTCACCCTACCTCGTTGCCGTCCACTATGCCTCCCACAGCCAAAGACACCCATCCTCTCGCTCTCTTTTCCCTCGTGCCTACAAGCAATAGGGCAAGAGCAGCTGTCGACCATCCCGAAAACTCCCATCTTGTCTCACGCATCACAGACGACCCGGACCACCCCGGTGATGATCAACGTGGACTCGACATCGGCGTATTCATCGGTTCAAAGTCACGCTATACGCTGGCCACTATCGGGCGCTGCGGCGATATCACGGTCGAAGGGGCGGGTATCTCGCGTATACAGTGCTCTTTCGAGATCAACGAGGACAATAAGACGGAGATCATGCTCCAAGATCGCTCAACCAATAAATCGACCCAGTTTTTCGGGACAAAAGCAATGCCATTCGAGTTGGGCCGTCCCCATCGTCGCGTCCTCGTGGATAAACACGTGAATCTGGAATTCGGGTTTGGCGGAGTGGGGTGTGATTTGTACCGATTTCGAATCGTCTGGCATAATCGTGGCAAACTGATGGCCGACTTATGTATCGATTACCGGGAAGACAACCCCCGCCAGACTCGCACCGTCCTGGATGAGCCGCCGACTATTGAACCGTCTAGGCGCACTACCCGGGTCCATACTCCTGGCAACCCAGAGAGGATCAGGTACTCGTACCGAGAGATGATCGGAAGTGGAGGGTTTGGAGAGGTTTGGAAGGTCGCCAATGTCGATTCTGGCGAGTATCTGGCGGTTAAGCGTGTGAAGCGGCCACACCTCCAGTCCTACAATCATGTTCTATTGAAACGGGAAGTCGAGACGTTGTCTCGCATTTGTCATGTAAGCCGAAAAAAAAAAAGCAGACGACATCTGCCTGTTGGCAATTAAGTCGACTAGCTATTCCACTTGGTTGCCAACGGCTATCTTATCTGCCACTAGCTAACAGCACCAGAGAAACGTCATAGAATACAAATCCGCCGTGTGGGCAGACGAGCATTTTGAAATCTTCATGGCATTTAGGCCCGGGAACGTCGAAGACCTGATCCGGCGTGACTTCTTTATAAAGAAACGAACGGCAGGCGACGCATTTGTCCACCAAATGCTTCAAGCGCTTGACTACCTCGCGAGCGAAAGCATTATTCACCGAGATATTAAACCGGAGAATATTTTGTATTCGCCTATGCCAGATGGAGGTCTCCTCTACCAACTCGCAGACTTTGGCCTTGCTAACATAGTTGCCGACGCCCGAACGTTCGCCGGATCAAGACTCTACATGGCTCCCGAGCTAGAAAATAGCCCGGATTCGCCTCAGACACCAAAGATGGATGTCTGGTCTCTCTTTGTCACTCTCGCGTACGCGTTGAATGGAGCCGGTTTTCGGCAGAAACCTTTACACAACACGCCCCTGCGAATCAAGGCAATCCAGGAGGCGGCCAACGAGTTTCGACCTCTTCGAGACATGGCACATGTGGATCCTAGAGAGCGAGCGACAGCAGGGGACATGTTGTTGAACGTCACAGCGGAAC